CTCTCTCTCTCTCTCTCTCTCTCTCTCTCTCTCTCTCTCTCTCTCTCTCTCACACACACACACACACACACACACACACACACACATGCACATACACACACAGGCACATTCTCCTGTCTATTGATTGGGAGCGCCACCTGCTGGAAACTGGGTCCAACGTCCCTACACACACACTCTCTTCGGGTTGTGTATAGGGAACATGACAAAACATTCATACAGCATAATCACTACCTTATCCTTCCCGAAAACAAACAAACTACGGGCTGCACACCCGTGCCCTCACGTCGTTTTGCATTTGGCACTTTGACATTGCCTAGCGGCAGCAGCACGTGCTTGCCGGGAGAGGGCCTGAAGTGATCTTATGCTTTGGGTTATCGACAAAGGGTCAGCATTCTACCACAAGAGTGGGTATGGGCCAGGACTTACAAGTTCCTCTCACGAACGCCATAGCGAACATCGCGCACAAGCGATACGGATCGTTCTTTAGGAGCCAGCCATGTGAGCAATCGGGTTCCCACGTGTCCTGCGGCTGACAGTTCCCGACCTCCTCTTCCTCTCACGCTCCCACGCAGCTCCCCGCTTCTCCTCCGCCGCACGTCAGAGGTCATGGAGGACATACACGAGGCACCGTTCCCGCCTTGCAGCTGCAGTCCTTCATTCTGCTCTTGAAGCGATTGCGGAAAACTTGCTCTACGCCGGATTGTTGTCGACGATACGTGTTGCCTTGCATTGCTATTGGATACCAAGCTCTCTGCCATCTGTTGGTCGACGTTCAGATGTGTTCCCTCTTCTTTCTGCCTCCTCTGTCCTCCTACCGCACTTCGCTCTCTTTTCTCTGACGTTTTGCTGCCATCCCCTTCCCGCTCCCCTTCCCGCTCCCCTTCCCTCTCCCCTTCCCCCCCTTCCTCCGCCGTTCTGACGGGAGTCGCCAGCGCTCTGTGAATCCCGAGAGCGTGTAATCCGTAAGGAATGAGCAGGATCATTCCGATGATTTCCTTGACGATGATCATGCCCAGCACCGCTGCTATCTTCAGTCGCTCTGATGGTGTTCCCGCCTTGCTGACTTCGATTCGAGCTCCCCGTACGGCGGCCCCAATCATCGCGCGGACGCCTCCTTTCTTCTTGCCGGAACCTTGCCTCATATAACTAACCTCAGATGCAGCAGTCCATGAGGGGACGAGTTCTCCCGTTTTGCCTCGCCAGTAGGTCCCCGATTTCGTCGTTTGAATCGCCATCGTTGTTGTCGTCGTGGCGGCCTTCAAGCTCCAATGCATCATCATCCAGATCGACGGTGAGGATACGATCTGGGCCTGCGTTGAGGCGATGAACGTAGTTACCAGACGATGGCGACACCTCCCACTTGCTGCCCCCTCCCCCCCGCCTTCCCGCTTGATACACGATGCGCCCCCCCCCTCCCCTGCCGAGCTGGGGCAGTGGCCAAAATGTCGACGGAGGTTGAGGGAGAGCAGTCCGTAACTCCCCCCCGCTTCCCCTCTGCGCTCTTTATGCTGATCGCGGGTCTAGGATCAGGCGGACCTCCTGCCGTGCGGATAAGGTGGCAGACGGAGAGAAAAGAAGAGCGCGGAAAACGGCAAATCCATGGAAATAGCCTGCTTAGGTTGGCGCGAGACAAAAATAGTCCGGTCATAAAGTGTCTGATTTGGGTGTCCAGGTGCATGAGATGCACCCCGCCATTTGGAGCGTCCACATACGCTCCGACTCGACAACCGCGCGAAAATATACGGTAGCAGCTAAACAGAAACATGGCGTGGCGAAGCTATGGCAACAGTGTAGGCCAGAGCAGGGCATCTTATCTATTACACCCGGGACAAGGTCCCACTTACCTACTCAGGCTGTGTTTTTCGCCGTCTATCATTGTTATCTATGACCAGAAGGAGAATAGCCCTACCGGTAGGATTTTCCCAGCATATACTCGACCACCCTGTCGTCCCCCAAGCTCTCTTGTATACATCCAAAATTAGGGTGCGTTGTATTCGGGGGAATACGGGTTAGGATGTACTTCAGTGAGACGAGGACCATGATTGTCGCCCTTTCAGATTCTGTTTGGGGAAACAAAAAGTAAAAACAGAACGGGAAGAAAAAGAAAGAAAAGAAAGAGGATAAACGTCTAGAGCAATACTCAGTGTAGGACTCTCTCATCTGGCCGAAATTTTGGCTTCACCCGAATTACGTCCCAAGAGGAGAAAAAAGTCGCAGTTTGTGTATGTACATGCCATCGATGGGCACCCTCCTCCTTAATTTGGGCACTACATTCAGCTACATTTTGTTATGCATGTTTGGTTCCGCAATTTCTGCTGAAGCAATTTGAGGTCCAGCTCGTGGCACGTGGTCCAAGGGATAGTGCTCCAGAGGGGCGTGATCCGCACTCAAAAGAATTGGTTATTATTTTCTGGGGCCACAGTTGTTTGCCATTTCGGGCGGCTTAGATTTCCCACTTAGCATGGAATGCACTTTTCTTTTCGGTCAGAACATAAACATCCTTATCATTTCTGTTTCCAAACATCCTTATCATTTCTGTTTCCATGCCCAACCCGGAATGCTTTTTACCCATTAGCATAGCATTTGGACTTATCATCAGCAGCCACACGTCCGGACCATTCAGCAACAGGGCTTGGGCATCTCTGTACTGTACACGATGTTCTTCACAAGGCTGGAAGAGTTGTTCAGGGCGCTCAAGGGTTCCTATCACAATGGCTCCAACCCATGGGCCTGCACTTTGTGCAAAGTGTGATTGGTTTATGGAGTTTGCACCTATTTGTGTGTATTTGGTCATTAGTTTACTACTTTCTTTGATCTTAGTTGGCCTTTCTTTCTTATTTGCTTCTTCATCCATCCTAACTTATCCGGAAAAACTGTCAGCTTACAAATGTGGTTTTGAAGGCGGCCGTATATGTCCCGCAGGACAACTCCATGATTGAACTAATGGTTTATATATCCTGACGGTTATACTTGAGTAACACAACCAGAGGGTCTCTCCAGGAATGAACAGGACTGTGGACTTTACTGAGCAGTCCACTTCATTCCTAGAGTTCGCAGCCCCAAGGCTGCAGTATAGTGGGCTTCGGCATCTGTGTCAAGGTGTTGCATTTTTGCGGGCGGGCGACCAGGATGCAAAGTGGATTCTTAGGGGGCAAAAAAAATTGGGCGACCGGTCCGTGGCAAAATTGTGGACTACCTACAGCTAGCTCTACTAGAACTGGGAGTTTTGGAAAAAGGACCGGTCATCGGGTGGAAGCGGACCCCAAAAAGAAGTGAGGGCATGTGAACTGCAAAAGGGCCCTCAGGCCCAGGCGTTCAGGCCCATTTTCTCAAAACAGGGAGGTCAGGCGCAACGAAATAGGCATTTTGCAAGAGGCAATTTTGGCTATTTTCTGTGCTTGGACGAATCCGCAGAAAAATCCGAAATTTTGAGAATAAGGCTGTGTTCTTTCCAGGAAAAATATTAGAACATTTTCAAAAAATCATTTAGACCACGAAATAATCGTCACGCCGATTCGGCACATATTTTATTTTTGCCACTCAGCCATGTGTGGGCCAACTGAAAAAGTACTCCAAATTCAGTGAGTTTTCACGCTCAGAAGAATGCATGAAGAAACCTGAATATTGAAGTACTCATAGATTTTGTTGTGATCTTTCCAAGAAAAACGCTAAATAAATTTTTAAAAATCATTCCAAGTGCCAACTGTGAAATAGATCGCGGCCGCAATTTTACCTATATTTCAATTTTGCCATCCAGCCTCTCTCTCTCTCTCTCTCTCTCTCTCTCTCTCTCTCTCTCTCTCTCTCTCTCTATATATATA